TGAAGTCTGTTGGGCTGAAATGTGATGTGACCCTAGACGGCATCAGGTGAGCCTTGGATCACAGGCCTCTGCTGTGCCCTGGGCCAGCCTGTGTGCGGGCTCCATGCACATCTTCCAGAGCATTCCTCATTCCCATTTCACAGACAAGGAAACAGACCCAGGGAAGTGAAATGACTGGCCCGAGGCCAAACATGGATTCCCTTGCATTTCCCCCACCTCCAGTGCCCCTCCCCAGGAGCAGAAAGGCCAGAATCTTCCCCAGACCCTTTTGACCGTGGCCCTAACTTTCCCTCAGACTCTTCTCCTTCACCGTGGCATTTTCACAGGGCTGTTCTCTGCCTGGAGCACAGCTTCCCCGACTCTGCTCATAGCCCATCTAGTGCCTGCCTGAAGCTCCCGTCCGGGGGGAGGCCGGCCTGGCTCGTGCAGTGACGGCCTTTCCTCGGTGACCTGCACCGCCCTGGTGACCGGGCCACTGTGGAAGCCCCAGGCCTGGTGCTGCTGCAAATAGCACTGTCCCGGAATAAGTTTCACAAAAGTGTATTTACTGGCACTCAGAATTTTCTCTCAATGCAAAAGAAACTGAATTTAAAATTAAACAATGAAAAATGCTTTATTTGAAAGCAGGAAGATTGTATGATTGGAGAGGATACGTATCACTCTGGCTTTGACGCTAAGTCATGTTGTCTGTGAGCCTTGGCTTCAGAAGGATCTGCCACCTTCTGTCTAGTCCAGGAGATGCACCTGTAACTCGGGTGATGCAGGTCCTGGGCAGCTGGTGCCCATCAGTGGTCTGCCAGGGGGACAGGTGCATCCGGGACCATGGACGCGGGCCCCTGGGTGGCCAGAGGGGAGGCTGCTATCACATGTCTGTCACTGTCACCAGAACTGCCTGAGCCACATGGGCAGGGCTGTCAGCCTCAGCGTCTGCCGCCTCCGTCTCACGTTTGCACCTTGTCCGCCTGCAGAATGCGGCCTGGTCTGGACATCTGTCTTCCATCGGGGACGCAAAGCAGGAGAGCTGATGTCCGTCCACACACACACCTTCATGCTACAGGAACGTGCTTCCACATGCTGCACCCATCCAGGGAGCCCCCCCTCCCCACCTCCCACCACCAGTGTGCATCAGAGCCTGCACGAGTGCAGGTGACCCCCTTTGTGCCACCAGGAAGACAGCAGCAGGTGTGTCCGTTTCACACCTCTCTGCTCAGGGCCCAGGTGCCACATCCTTGGTGACAAGAAACTAATCATATCAGCCCTCCTCTGGTGAAGGGACAAGAGGGGTGCCCTTTACTGTGTTGGTGCAGAGGCAAGGCTGGTGGGCAGGCACCGCAGAGCGGGGCAGTGCATCCCGCAGACAGCCGGGCAGATGCAGGCAGAGCAGGGGCAGAGCAGGGATGGGGGCCATGGTGGTGTGTGCGGCTTGAGTCTGTGCCCACGCAATTTGTGAACAAGGGAAGAAACCGGGCCTGGAGACTCCCCTCAGACATGACGTGCCTGACCCTGTCCCTGAGGCCAGAAATCTGGCATCATTCTAGCTGCGCCCCTTCTGCCCACTGATCACCTCACAGTCCACATTTTCTAGGAGCACTTTTGCCTTCTGATGTTCTCCCCGACCCCGTGCCCTTGTCACACTGCGGTGCTCCCCCAGGCCAGGCTCTGGTCATTTCATGGACCACGAGCCAAGCTGCCGTGGAGACCTGGGTCATGGTCCTGCCCGAGTCATGCCCCTGGCAGACTGCCTGCAGGTGGGGGCTCATTTCCTCTGCCTGAGTACCCATCTACATGGCCTCACCTCCTCTGGGAGCCCCCTGAACTGGGTGGGCTCCCTCTGTGCTCTGCATGTTCTGGAACTGCCACTCTATGTGGTCGTGATCGGTTTATGTGTCTCTGATTTTCAGCTGTGAGTTTCTGGGGACAGTAGCGGGTCTAACTGCGCTGCCCAGGATCTTATATGAGGGAGGTATCTAGCCAGCGCTGGGTCACAGAGGGCACTCAGAGTGAATGCATGAGCTGCTTACAGGGTGGCTGAGGGCAGGTGAGGAAACCGGCTGACATGGCTTCCAGCTCTGGAAGAGTGAAGCCTCCATCTGTGTCTCAGACCAGTGCTGGGATCCCACCTCTCTTCATTCTCTTTCTGCTTCTCCTGGGGGAGTAGGTAGAAGTAAGTCTGGATAAGAGACATATTGGAGCGTTCATAGCAGCACTCTCAACAATAGCTAAAACATGGAAAGAGCCTAAGTGTCCATCAACAGACGAATGGATCAAGAAGATGTGGTTTATCTATACCATGGAATACTACATGGCAATGAGAAAGAATGAAATCTGGCCATGTGTAGCAACGTGGATGGACCTTGAGGGTGTTATGCTGAGCGAAATAAGTCAGGCAGAGAAGGACAAATATCATATGTTTGCATGTATAGGAGGATTAGGAGGAACTTAACTGAGGAAAAAGGGGGAGAAGAAGGGAGGAAATGTTGGGGAAAGGGAGAGAGGCAAACCATGAGAGACTCTTGAATGCTGACAAAAACTGAGGACTGATGGATGTGGGGGGGAGGGGGGGTGGGCATGGAGAAGGGCACTTGTGGGGATGAGCACTGGGTGTTATGTGGAAACTAATTTGACAATAAACTACTTGTAAAAAAAAAAGAGAGAGAGACATATTGGGGCACCTGGGTGGCTCAGTCAGTTGAGCGTCCAACTTCTGCTCAGGTCATGATCTCACAGTTCGTGGGTTCAAGCCCCGTGTCGGGCTCTGTGCTGACAGCTCAGAGCCTGAAGCTTGCTTCAGATTCTGTGTCTCCCTCTCTCTCTGACCCTCCCCTGCTCATACTCTCTCTCTCTCTCTCTCTCAGAAGTAAAAACACTTTTTTAAAAAGTTATTTAAAAGAGATATATTATCACTTGTGTGTCCATCAATCTATTCGTCTGTCCTTCTTTTTACCCCTCCTTTCCTCTTTCCTTCCTTCCTTCCATCCATCCATCCCTCCAGCCATCCACTCATCCTTCCATTCTTTCATCCAGTATATCCAGTATTTATTGAGCATCTGCTCTGGACCAGGCACACTGCTGGGTCCCAGAGACTAAAGTCTGGGGTCCAGCAAGGGACCGTGGGGCTTTCAGCTGTTTCCTGAAACTCCGTATTTCCTCCATATTTCCTCCTCGTTCATTGTCTCCCTTGGAGACGGTCGGGGAGAGTTGGGGAGACAGAGGATGGCCTGCATGGAATAATGGGGTAGAGTACAGATGGTGCCCAGCTGAACACCTCGATGCGCCATAGATTCAGTTTATTTCAGTTCAAGGCAATGAAGGATCAGAAATATCTTCAGGAAGAAAAAACAAGAACATTCATTCAATTTGAGAGGAAAACTGATGTAGCAAGGAAATCAGGCCAAATTTGTGCTCTCAGGACCAGAAGTAGGTGTAAGGAGGGAAATCATTGGAGTCTGCATGGCTTCTCCAAATGTAATCAGTCATGATCTCTCTCACTTCCATTGTTCTACAAGGTTCCCTTCTTTCCATGTTCCCTCTGGTTTCTGGTCCATGGGAAGCCTCTTTCCCCTGTGCTGCTGGGGAACTCTGTGCTGGAGGAGGATATGGGCTTGCTTTCCTAAGGAGCTGTTTCAGGGCCTGCTAGTGTCTGTGCAGGGCGGACCTGCGGGCAGTGCTGCAGACAGCAAGGCCTCAGCCCTGCCCTCCTTAGTCAGGTGCAGGGTGGAGCATGGGATCCAGGAGCAGGGCCAGCTCAGGGGTGGCTGGTGGGTGACTGAGGGAAGCATTAGGGTAGAGCCCACAGGCCCCAGGCTGGTCCGGTGACTCCAGACCTGACTGATCATGAGATTCCACGGAGATAGTCCAACACAGCTTCCTGGGCCGCCCCCGGCGCTCTGACTCAGCAGGTCTCAGCTCAAGCCGTCTCTGGCTGGCCTGCCTCGAGGGGCATGGCCTCTTTGGTGCCCACTTCCCAGGGGTCATTAAAGCTGAACTGGCCCTTCAAGGTGTGTGCCATGGCACACCTGAAGTTTCTGGAAAGCATTTCCTGTGAGGAGGGAGGAGGCCAGGCTCCTTTCACCTTGCCCAGCACCACAAGCAGAGCCTGGGGGTGGTGCCAGAGCAGAGGCGAGTCCCTGGTGGTCTGTGGCATGAGTCTGTCTGGATGTGCCCAGGATGGAGAGAGAGCAGGGACTGGGGCCCATGGGGCACACATGTCCTCGATGTGTGTCACTTTCTCCCAGAGAGCAGCAGGACCGAACCCATTATCCTCACCCCAGCCCAGGTCTCCCTCCTGATCCTGACACATCGAGGGGAAGAGAGCACAGGACTGTGAGCGGGGCTTCAGCGCTGAGTGCATACGTGTGCTCCGTGCTGGGCGTGGGGGCCTCCACCAGGTGCGTTTCCAGCTGTCATAGCTTCTCCCATCTCGGCTGGAGCCTGAGATTCCACCAGAAGTCCAAATCCAGAGCGTGTGGATGGTTGCCTCTGAGTGCCCTGCCCTCCAACACCCAGTGGTGTGTGTGTGTGTAGGGGCAGGGTGAGGGACAAGGAAGCATTTACCAAGGCTGCTTTCTGCTGCTCCCTGGGTCAAGGCACTGAGGTCTGTAACCAGCCCCCTTTCCAAGAGGCTGTGCAGTGACTGAGCCAGGCCCTTGGGAGCATTACAGGAAGTTGGACCCCACAGCTTTCGAAGGAGAACAGCCTCTCTGACCTGCGACCGTGCAGGCAGGCCTGAGTCCTGGGTGGCCCTTCAGGGCTGGGAGTTGTCTGGCAGTCTGCTGGCTCATTCAGACACTCACCTGCTCCTCCCACGCGTCCAGACGTCAGTGGTTCCTGGGGCACTGGGCTCGGCCGCTTCCAGTAGCAGGGCCTCATGGCTCCACTGTCAAGGCACTGGAAAGTTCCTTGACACCAGCTCCAGCTCGCCCAGCCTCTGACCAGGCCACCTGGTGACTGTGGGGGCTCTCATGAGAAGTCCTAACCTTGAGCTGTGTCTGATTCCCTAGCTCCAAGAAGCCTAAGAAACGCCCCGAAGTGGCCGTGAAGCCCAAACCCTCACCCCGACTCACCATCTTTGATGAGGAGGTGGACCCCGATGAGGGGCTCTTTGGCCCAGGCACAAAGATCTCCCCCAAGGGCCCCGCAGAGGACGTGCCCCTCAAGGACCGTAAGTAGAGCCTCCAGGTGTTGCCATTCCTCTTGGTGTCTGCCCAGCGACCCCCCCCCCCCCCCCCCGCCAGCCTCTGTCAGTGACTTTGGACCTGCCATACAAGAGCCTAGAAATCTCCCCCTTGTCCTGTTTCAACATGATACAGACTCAGCTTACGGAGATTTTGTGCTGCAGAAATCTAGTATTGCACTTTGTGTCCCCATAGCCTGGAACATCCCAGGGCTATATATTTATTCTGCTCATCCTGTGGAAGAGGAGGGTGGTCGTCTTGATCACTTGAGAAGTATGGGTTGTGATTGGTGCCAAAGCATCTTTGTCATTCCAGGACCGGGTGTGGCCACCGGCTGGAAAGTAGACTCCGGCACCCCGGCTGGCTATGCTGTACGATTTGGATTGTGATGAGAGATTTTGCGTTGCCTGCACAGACCCCACAGGAGGGTCCCGTGCAGAGCTGGAAAGGGGACTTCTGTATTTGTCCTCATCCCACCTGGCTCCTCATTCAGGGTGGAGAGTTGATGCAGCCAGCACTTGGTGACCACCCGCGGAGGGCCCGGCTCTGCTGAGCCTGAGAGCACATGATGAGAAAGGCACTGTCCTAGCCTCGGGGCTCCTCGGGAGACCAGACATCTGACAATTGCAGGGTAGCCTCTGAGGCCCTGTCCATTGCTTCTTTCCTGCCCCCACGTGGGCCCATTCCTCTGATTCTTCTGTGCTCTGTCTTGTCCCCGGCTCACTGTCTCCTGGCTGGACCAGGCCACCTCCACCCTGTCCCCCTCCGGCAGCTGAGGACGGGCCAGGACTTCCTCTGACCTCTCTGCTCCTGCCTTCCCCACAGCCCTGAAGTTGTTTGAAGATCCTGATCTCGGCGGTGCCGTCCCCCTGGGTGACCCCTTACTGCTGCCTGCCGCGCATGCGAGTGGAGGGCCCACGTCCCACTCGGAGCTGTTCAGGTACCACGTGCCCCCAGCGGTGTTCCCCCTGCCCTGAGAGTGCCCAGACAGAGCCAGGGCCCCGTCTCAGTGTGGGAGCATCTCACCAGCTTCAGCCTCCAGGGGCAGCAGTCTTGGCCCTTCAGAGGCAGGAGCCTGTGGGTGGGCGCTGGCCAGGGGGCGGTGCCAGGGACCGGGGTGGGGGGTGGGAGTGGGGGTGGTCAGCAGCCCGGGGCAGCTCAGCGAGTTCCAGAAAGGACTTCATGAATGCAAGTCTTTTTCTTTTCCTTTTCACACTCCTACTTTAAAAGTTGATGTGAGGAATAATCAAATTAGGGAATCGCAAGAGCAAGTGTAACTGGCCTGAACAGGTTTGGGAACAAATCAAATGGATTCTTGGTAGCTCGCAGCTCTCGCAGAGGGAGTGGAGCGCAGATATGTCGGACAGTGGCTGGGCCCGGCAGGCCTCAGAGGGGGCTCCTTCCAGAGTGCGTGCAGTGCCTCACTGTGCTGGACTCTGCACGCTGCCTCGTTCAGTCCTCCAGCCCCCCACGGAGGTGCTCTTATCTCTGTTTTAGACAATAGTGTGGGAAAGGTGACTGGCCCAAGGCCACAGCTCCCAAGGGACAGAGCCAGGATCGGAGTCCAGGGCACCGCCGCTGTCCTCTCCTCCCTGCTCCTTCCGAGGACTTAGAGCAGAGGCTGGGAGATCTGCCTCCCGCCCTCTGCCAGCAGCTTTCTCTGGGCTTCTGTGTGTGCCGCCTGCGTTCCCAGCATGCCTGGTATTGTGCGTCTCCGTGGCATCATCTGTGCCCCCCAGAACGCAGCTGTGCTCGGTGGTTTACAGGAAGCCGAGCCGTCTCCTTCCCAGAACGGTTACGTGGAGCCGGGGCATGTGGTCTGGGAGGCTGTCATCTGCACCCTCGTTAGCGGTCTCGGGCTATTAGCCCTGTAAATGCCCACCAAGCCTGAGTCATAGCAAAGGCTTCCTGTCTTTACATCTCCCCATGGCCCCTGGCATCTGTTCACTGTCATCCTGTGTCCTCACCCCTGACAGGCTGGGAGAAGCTGGGGTTGTTACAACTTTAGAGGAGAAACAGGCACAGGGAAACAGAGCACTAGAGTGAGCCCCAGGGAGGCTCTCCTGAGTGTGCCCTGCCCAGGGAGGCTCTCCTATCTCCAGGACGCCGCGTGTCCCAGGGAGGCCGTTCCAGGGCGACTTTCCTGGCACAGTTTATTGTAAATCCACAACACCAGCACTTCTGGACCCGTGTTCTTCAGAATGTCACGCTCCCTTCAAAGGGGCTCTGTGGCCAGACGGCTGGGGTGATACTGGTGTGAAGCAGGACTCTGTGGGCCTGAGTGGGAAACATCGTGTAGCATTTCACATTCTCACTGGTCCCTGCGACCTTTTCCTTTGTGACATCTCTTGGCGTCCCGCAGAGCACTCTGGGAGCCACTGCTTTAGAGAATGTGAGCCCTGCAGCCCCGCCTTCACTCTGCCAGACGTCTGGTGACAGAGAAGTCACTCCCTGAGAGCTGGAGCCATGTTTTCTTCTCCTTTGTGCTGCCTCTGTGACTATCCAGGCAGTGATCGGGGTTCCTTATAGCAAAAACCTTCTTAACCCTCATTCATTCACTGATGCCGTCACCCCTCCATTCATTCCATCACGGCCGTCAGCTAGCACGAAGTGGCACGGAGTGGCGTGCCCAGCAGGATGCAGATAAGCCTCAGTTCCCTCTTCCGGTGCAGCCACACCAGTGGAAGGCTTCCAGGTGTGGTCTTTAACCAAGGGACCTGGGGAGGAGGGGTGGCACTGGGGTCTTCAGAGCTCCCCACAGCCTCTCAAGGGTTGACCTTGTACTAGCAGAGCCTGGAGGAGAAGAAAGCTAACTGTGCCTTAGTGGGACCTATTCTAGCCATGACTCAGGGAGCCCACATGGAAAGGGGTGCCCTTGCAGCCACCTGTACCCCGACTGTGACTGCCTCACTTGCCACCTCAGAGCAGCTTCTGATTAGTTCCAAGGGTGTAGATGATTGAGTCCCTCTGAGCGTTTCCTGGGCCCCAGCCTCCTGTGGAAGATGCAGGAGGAGGAGCCAGCACCAGGAAGGTGCCGGTGCAGGGGGCCAGGGCACCTGTGAGCTACCCTGCGTTACACTCCTTGGCGTCGCCTCGAACCCAGAACGGCTGCCTCTGTTTGAAGGCCTGGCTCGGGGTCCCTCTGGGTCTAGACTGGAAGGACACCTTTTGCTCGGCCTGGCGCCATCCACAGAAGCTACAAGCTCCCCCTTTGTGGTCTGTTCCCACCACAGGAGGCTGGCCCGGGAAGCAGGCAGGGTGACCCAGGGCAACTTTGGCAGCTGGTACTTGGCGGGCAGCCCCTCCAGGGCATGGTTGTGCTGGGCGCCCCACGCTCAGGCCTCTTCCTGATCCTGCTGATGTCTGAGCTGGATCCCATTGACAGATGGGGAGACTGAGGACCTGGGAAGTGGAGGTGAGGAAGCCGACCGGAGGCCCCTGATGGAGGAATAGCGGGAGCGGAATGGAACTGTGCTTCTGGGCACGCGGTGGCTCTGCAGGCCTGCTGGGCGACGCTGCCGTCACCGTCCTACAGATGAGCACACCGAAGCTTGGAGAAGCCGAGGGGCCTGTACAAGCCCACCCCCCACTGGCCTTCTGCCTCCGGCACCCGTGCCCTCCCTCCCCGACCCCAGCCTGGCTGAATGAGGCCTGTTGAGATAGCCTGAGACACTTGGCCCGGGTGTGGGCAGCACCTGTCTGGATAGTTCTGCTGGTCACTGGTTGAGGAAGCACATAAAGGGCCAGGAACCCTCATTGAGGAATTCACACACTAGCCCTTGTATTTCCATGGGAATTTTCCATGTAACTTCATGAAAGCCCCCAGGATAGTGTTCCCAGACCCTTCCCGCCAGCCCTGGGTCTCCTGGCTCCAGACCAGACTGATCCGTGCACAGCTAACCCCCGAGAGCAGGCTAGAGGCTGCTGTGCTCCCTGGGACCAGGGGGAGAGCGTGCTGTCCACCCTCCACCCGGCCCAAAGAAGAGCATGAAAGCACCGGTCAGGCCATTCCTCCTTAGCATCCTGTGGAAGCGAGAGTACCCTCGAAATGACCTCATCCAGCCCCTCACCAGCAGGGAAACTGAGGCTCAGGGAGGGGAAGAGACCTGTCAGTCACTTATTTTGCAGTTCTTGCTTTGGGTCTTCTCTGAATCACTGCATCTCAGATGGGACTGTCATCTGTCAAGGGACAGGAGAGTGGACAGCAAGCGTCCTGGAGCCTCAGCCAGGGAGAATGCCCGGGGGACACAGGCGTGTGGAGGTTATCACAGAGTCCCAAGAGAAGGCAACAGGGCTCTGGGTCGGGTCCTTAGAGGCAACAGGTCCAGCAAGTGTCACCTGAAGGGCCTCGGGGGGCCTGTGGCTGCAGCATAAGGAGGGATCCTCCACCCAGGAGAAACCCTAACCTGCGAGGGCTTCATTGCATTGGTGCCCCAGGAAGACAGACACACCCAAGAGACCCAGCCACCCCCAGGCCAAGTCCTGTTCCTTCATGAGCTGGCCATGGGCCGCAAGCAAAGGCCTCTATCTCTTTGTACCTCAGCTTTCATATATGGAAAATGGGGCTAATATCTGCTACAGTGTCTTGTGATTATTCAGTGAGTTGATGAATGTGGAAATGCCTGGCCACAGTAGGTATTCAGCACGATGTCAATTGAATGCATGGGTGGGTGGTGGGAAGGATTGAATGGGTCTTTCGTTGTGCATCTGGTCTCCAGAAAATGAGTTCTGCAGGAGCTGGCAGCAGGAGCCCCCTCAGGCAAAGAGGACAGAACCAGGTTGTGGCGTGCTTTTCACGCCATCTGGTACCTGGGGCTGGTCCTGTGTGACTGTCACACTGCTCTGGGCTCTCGTCCCACCCAATGATGGCTGTCAGGTCCAGGGCCCTGGTGGCACCAGCCCTCGGCGGGCTCTGTCTGGCACCGGTGTGGCCCACAGTGGGCACCATAGATGGGCAGCCCCACCCCACAGTGCTCAGATCCCCTCATTTATTCTTTCCCTGGCTGAACTTGGCCTAGATGAGGGCTCAGCTTCTGAAGTCTGACACCCTGGTTCTGACTCAGGCACTGTCTCACGCTGTCATTGCAGGCGGGTAGGTTGGCCTCCTCGGGCCTGAGCATCCACATCTGCAGGGTAGAGATCAGCCGTACCCCCAAAGGGTTTGAGGATAACACAAGATGGCATGCCCGAGGTGCTTGGCACAGAGCAGCCGCTCTGTATTTGGCAGCTGTTGCTGTTACTTCTTGAGAGGTTGAAGGACAAATCAATCACCTATAGGGCCATCGTCTAGAGGGGGACCACCTGAAAAGGAGGCCTAGAGGCTGTAGACGGGCTGGCTCTGCTCCCACTGTGCTGGGCAGGAGCAGGGAATGAGAAGCCTCCCCTCACATCCTCCCCCAGGGGCAGGATGGGGGAAGGCCAGGTTGGGGCGGGGCCTGGTCACAGTCCCCAGGGGTGCCTTGGGACCTTGCTCTCTTTGCAGGAGATTATATTCAGGGCTTCCGCCTCTGTTGCCCTAGAGTTGAAGAAGACTTGGACCAGATTCTGAACCTGGGAGCCGAGCCCAAGCCCCAGCCACCACCCAAGCCCCAGCCTAAGCCCAAACCACCATTGGCAGCTAAGCCAGCGCTACCCAGAAAGCCAGCCGTCCCCCCTAAAGCGGGCCTGCCTGAGGTTGCGGTGGAGCAGCGGAAGCAGCAGCAGCAGATTCAAGCCATGGACGAGATGGACATCTTGCAGTATATCCAGGACCATGATGCGCCTGGCCAGACCGCCCCCAGCCTCTTCTGACACCCCCACCCCTGTGCTGGCTCTAGATTGGGAGAGCCTCTCCCCCAGAGGGATGCATGGTGAGGTGGGCATGTGCCCTGCTGGGCCAGGACCTCTGTCCCCAAGGGAAGGGGTGGACGCCCGAGTCACAGGGTCCCTGTAGTACTACCTTGTTCCTTTCTTTTTTTGTTTTGTCTGGGGGGGTGGGGTGTCAGAGAACCCTGCAGGGCACAGAGAGAGAGGTCACCATAGGAATTGGAGCCCAAATTGTCTCAGCCCTGTGGCTGTGGAGGGGAGAGCGTGGCGGGGCAGGGGGGCGGGTTGCCTTGCTAACCAGCTCGGCCCCCAGGATGAAGGGAGACCGGAGGGGCTCTAGGAGGCCATCCTGGCAGGGAAACTGAGTCCACTTACACCAACTCTACAGTAGGGGGGGTCTGCCCGGCCTGGGGGGAAGCGGTGGGTCACTGGGCGAGATGGATCCCTGGGCAGTATGGCTCCGGGGACCTGCTCTGAGAAGGTCTCCAGGAGATGGGTGCTGAGTGGGTGCCTGGGAGGGTTCTTGGTCGGGCAGGTGTCCCTGGCTCTGGTCACCAGGTGCTAATAAGCAGGGTGCTTTCCCATGTGTCCAACTGAGGGAGACCTGAGGCCTAGCCCTGCCTCTCAAGCCCTGACAAGCCCCTGGTCTTCCCCCTCCTCCTTTCCCAGGGGAGGCCTGGCCACACGTTGGCCTTTTGGGGCCTCTGCCCCCATGGTCAGCGCCCACCTTTGCAGCTTTGAGCAGAATGATCATAGCATCCTCTAGCGCTCTGCCTGTGCCTGCAGCTGGGGTGGCCCCCCGAGCCCCAGAGGGCCTCGGCAGGACGCCCTTGGCTGCGACTTCGAGCACTCTGTCCAGTGGTGGATGCAGCCAGGCCTCCCTTGTCCCCCAGATCTGGACATGCTCACCAGCCTTGCGGCATTCGGGGCCACCTCTGCAGGGGGAAGCAGCCCTGTGCAGGATCAGGGCCAGTGCCTTAGACTTCTCCTGGACCCCCCACGCCCCGGCACGCGGGTCTGCGCACGGCACAGCGCTCAGGAAATTCTCCGCGAATGACGTTTAATAGAGCAACGAATCTCTTTTTTGATATATTCTTCGTCTTCAAAACCAGTTTTTAATGAGACACGGTTTTTAATGAAACACAACCACCATTGTCCCTTGCCTTCTCCTGCTTGACAGAGACTTTGGAAGGGGGTTTGGGGGTAGGCCCCCAGACGCTTTCCCGATCGGGGCCAACAGCCAGCTCTGAGGGAGGCCCCCCGACCAAGTTGGTTGCTTGCTGCCTTCAGTTTCTAGAACCCTGCTCCTGCGCTGGTCCTGCGGGGGGTGGGGGGCGGGGAATGCCCCCTCTGTGCTTTTGTCTATCTCATGCACCCTGGCACCCTCATCAGCTGTCCAGTCTGAGAAGACTGCCCTCCCCCACCCGGGACCAAAGCAATAGGATATCGGCAGTTGTGAGGTCTTAGAGCTGAATGCCTTCTTCTCTGCCTTACCCGGCCTCCAGCTCCAAGGCCGCTCTCCCCAGAGCTCCACTGCCAGACCTCCACTTCCCCACCCCGGAAGGCCTTGGGAGGGGCGCGTGCCCACCTGAGGGCTGCCTCTCTGTTCCCTCTCCTGGGCCTGCTCCCCAGCGGCCACCTACCACCTGCCGTGGCGCAGGTGCAGAGGGCTCAGCAGACAGGTGCCTGGCGCCCTTGGGGACTGGCCCACTGGAAGAGGTCGTAGACGGAGGCTGCCATGGGGGCGTGGGTAGTGTGGGTTCATCCACTGTGTCTGGCGCTGCCTAGATACCTCATGAAGATGTGCACATCCCCAAATAATCATCCTCAGACTGCGGCTGATTCTCCACCACGGGTCTGTACCTACTGGTGAATTGATGACACCCAGTGATCCAATAAAGTACATGTCAGTGATTCATTCCAACATCTGTTAGTGGTGTTTTTTTCTGTGCCTGGGCTGATGGGGAAAAGTGTGGGGGAGGGTATCTTGTTAACAGTGAGGTCAAGGGAAGCTGCCCTTGACGGACCCTGGGGTCTGCCACAGCTCCACCTAGCCTTCCAGGCTACTGCTTGGTAGGGTGAGTTGAGGCCAGAGGGAAGATTCCACTGTGTAGATTGAGGCAGAGGGACTAGAGGACCAGCCCAGCAGGGGTCATTGGGTCAGTAACTGGCCAGCCAGGACCCTTGGAAACAGTTTGGAAAGAAGACCCTTCCCTTCTCCAGGCTCACCGTCTCCTTAGAGTGGGGACTGGCCTAGGCTTGTACTGGTCTTTAGGCCCTTTACACTCTGACATTACAAACCTATCCATCTATACACAAACACATCCTGGCCCCTACACTCCTGTCTGAGCTCAGATTCTGAGATACTGCTTTGTGCCTGGGCCCCAGAGGTCCTGGGCAGCTGGCCCCGTGACACTGACAGCTGCTGGAGAACAAGAAACGGGTCCCCAGGAGCCAGGAAGGCCCCGAGCGGGGACATGCTATGGGCCGACACTGGCCTCCACCCACCACTTGGTTTTGGATCTCATAGCTAAGCTTAAATTGGGGTCTTGGCTCCCAGGGACAAACAGTTGGGGTCTTCTGAGAAGGAGCCCACAGCCAAGAGCCTGCAGCCGAGAGCTCACCATACAGAGAAAACAGAGAGGTTGAATTTGGGGCAACAGCCTTTGTTAGGAAGCCCCTGTGAGCCCCGTGGACAGGATGCGCCGTCTATGGCAGGGGCCCCACTCCCTTCCAGCATTGCTCCTGAAGAACCCCATTCTTCTGGAAAGTCCCAGTTCTAGCTCCTTCCCTGACCAGGGCGTGCGGTGAGGCTCGCTGGAAAGTGCCCACCTTCTGGGCTCTGGTATCCCATGATCATGTCCCTGCAACTGTCTGCAACTCACCTGGCCTCCTGTGCACCAGGGGCTGCCCCAAGCTCAAGTCCTCACACTGGATGCATCAAGACAGCATAAGTCCAGCCTCCCTTCAGGGCCCTCAGGCTTAATGCCCAGCTGCCACCTAATGACACCTGATTAACTCTGTGTGGTGCTCAAACACCCAGCATTAGGCTTTGGTTAGTCTCCACCCCTGGAATTTGCAGGGAGGCCTGGTGAGGAAAAGCATGCGCAGTTCTCCGGCTCCCCGAGTGTCCAGCTGAGCAAATCCTGGGGAAGAGAGAAGGGCAGTGGTGTTCTCATCCCCAGCAAGATGGCCCCCACCAGGCAGCAGGCACGTCCCAGTGCTGCTGGGTCCTTGCATAGGTGGATGGCTGCCCAGAGCGGGCATAGTCAACACTCAGAGGCTTTTTGAGGGGCTGACATTTCAGTGGCCAGTTTTGGATGCAAACTCTGACCACTCCAAACCATTCCCTGTCAGTGTCCTGAGGCCTCGCGGTGGGGATAATTGACTGAAGAACCCTTAGGGGAATCAGCTATCTGGCTCTGGGCATGGAAGGATCTAGGTTTCAGTCTAGCTCAGCGTGTGATGCTCTCTTACCCCACAGCCCACAGTGCCGAGTGAAGAGACCAGGTAGACTGACTTCTTCGTGCTGCAGGAGATTCCATAGGCCGGTCACTCCAGCTCATCGCGGCGGGACCTCTGCCCAGGACAAGCTGGATGCTAATAGGAAGGGGCAGGCTGTTGGATGGGTGGTCAGAAGGCCTCGGCAACCTCAGCTCAGCCCAGCGCCCAGCCCGGCACTGATGTCCAGCTGCTGCGCTACAGACAACATGGTGAATGGAACAACGTGGTGAGGGTAGCCTGGAGTCCTAGTGTTCATCCATCTCGTGGCTGACCTCGGGCTCTTGGTTTCCAGGGCTCCGCCACCGGAGAGAGCTGAGGGATTCCAGTTCTCAGGTGGCATTCAGCGTAAAACCACGGCTTCTGGGGTGGGGCTTATGGGCTGAGCGCCTGGCCTCAGTAAGCGGGAATCCCGACTGACAACCTTCAGAGGCGCTGACGCCTCTCTGCCAACTCAGCAAATAGCTGCAGCCTCTAAATTGGTTTTGTAGTAAAGCTGAGCTAGCTCGCTACAGCCCACCTGGCCAGTCACGCCATCAATCAGTGCGAACGAGAGGGCGGCCGGGGCTAAGCAGGAGGCACAGCCCGGTGCTCAGGGGACACAGGGAGTGAAAGACCCCACCAACTTCTTCTCCTGAGCACCTCCAGGGGGCAGTAGCCTTCCCAGGCACAATGAAGGTCGTGAAGGCGGAAAATCATGAGTTGGTAAAGGTGGATCTGCCATGAGCCATGCTGAGCGCCTGCTATGGGTTCTGCTCCTCCCTCTCTTCTCTCCCCTCTGACAGCGCCCCCCCCCAACTCCCCCCCCCCGCCAGCAGTGCCAGCAGTGGTGTAACCTGAGCCCGGCTCCGAACCTGAGCCCAGCTCTCCCTGCTACTGCTACTGTAACAAAGTATCACAAATCCAGTGGCTCTAAACAAGAACTTACTCTTTCCCAGTTCTGGAGGCCAGAAATCCGAAATCAAGGTGTCGACAGGGCCGCACTCTCCGAAGGCTCTAGGGAGAATCCTTCCCCGCTTCTTCCAGATTCTGGGGGTTGCTGGCACTCCTTGGAGTTCTTGGCTTGTCACTGCATCCCTCCCATCTCTGTCTTCACGTGGCCATCTCTTCTGTGTCTTCTCTGTGTCTTGTAAGGACCAGTCACTGGATTAGGACCCAGTATGGGATGGAAAACCCAGTAAGATCTCATGTTACCTTAATCACATCCGCAAAGACCTGATTTCCAAATAAGGTCCCATTCACGGGTTCCAGGTGGATGTGAATTTGGGGAGGATGCTGTTCCACCCAGTACGGTCACTAAGGGCCTGGGACCTTCAAAGCAGGCTGACTTACTTAATAGCAGAAGCGATGATTTCTGCATCATTGGGGCCTGACAGAGACCTTCTCTGAAGGCCTGTTGGGGGCTACTTGGTACTTATCATAGAAGGTTTGGGAGACACTGGAATCCACCAGCCTGATAGGAGTCCCAGCCTTTGTACATCGCTCGTGACCAGAGGTGGGAGCAGGACACACCAGGCGTGTGACATGTGTAGCTCTAGGTCCTTCCCCACGTGGCCAAGGTGTGGCCTGGCCCTGCCCCACCCCCACCCCAGGGGCCATCGTGCCTCCTCCTCCTCCCCGGGGCAGTGACAGCCCCAGAAGAGTCTAAATTACTTCCCGTTCTAAGCTGTTGGGTGTTAGGGGTAAGGTGAGGCAGGCGGCGTCCCATCCTGTCCTGGCCAAGCCATGGCCTCTGTATTTCAGCAGTACCCTATCATCTCCTTCCTGTCTGTGTCGGGGAGGGAGCAGGGAGGGAAGGGTCTTTCTTGGACACTCACCACGCGCCAGGGGCGGGGCACTCTCATTCACAGCTGCCACCAGAAATGCCCAAACTTCCTGATCAAAAGTTGCATCTCTTTATTAAATAGGGAAACGTCAGCACCTACTAAACAATGACTCTCTGGAGCAACCTGTGGCACAAAATGAAGAGTCAGCAGTGCTCAGAGCAGTCCTGGTGAACAGGGGGCTGTGTCTACCTTCCTAGAGGGTCGCTTGGAGGGTCCAGAGCCCTTCCCGCTCAGCGCCCTGGCTCTGGATGGCCTGCTGGCTCTCCCAGCTGGCTGCCAGGGCTGCCCTCCTGCGGTCACCCCATCTATCATCTTCTCACTGGGCCTCTGAGGAAGCTGGAAAAGGCTCTGACAAAGCTGGGGGCGGGGAGACAGGCCTCCAGAGGGTGAGAGCTGCAGGCCGGCTCCCTGGGCGCCCAGGGGGCTTTCTTCAGTTGGTTTTCTTCCTTTGCGAGATCTCTCTCGACTTCTCCACATGTGTGTTTCTGCTTTTCCTTTTGGCTTAACAGCCACTTTGCTGATTTCCCCCCAGCAAGTGCTGTGGGTCCGGGAAGGTGATTCTTTCAGATTAGACAGCAGAACGGCTGACTTCTTTTCCCCCGATGATCCCCCTTTCCCCCATGGTTTCTCTGACCATCAGGAGCAGCAGAAAGGCTCTGCATGACCCACTGGTGGCCCAAGGGCCTCGTTTTATTGCCAGATGGTCTGGGATTCTCATCAGGCTCGTCTGGTTTTATAAGCGGCCCTGGGATTGGAACCCCAGCCTCGCAGACTATAAAATCCACCAGCACGAGAATGGAAAATTCTGCAGCACCTTGGTGAAAGCTTGGCAGGTTTTTCAAACTTGACTATGAATTTACGACAATGACCCAGCAATTCTGCTTCTATGAATATACGCAAAGAGAAAGGGAACTATATGGCCCCACAAAGACTTGTAAACAACAGCAGCTTGATTCATCGCAGCCAAACTGTGGAAACAACCGACAAGCCCATGAGCTGGTGAAGGGATAAGAAAAACGTGCGTCTGGGTGGGGCAGACACACAATGGAATATCACCCAGTGGTAAGTAACAAAGTACTGCAACCTGCTACAGTGTGACTCAGTCTCAAACACATGCTGAGTGAAAGGTGTCAGAGATCCCAGGGTGGAGGCGCCTGGGCGGCTCAGTCTACTAAGCGTCCAACTTCAGCTCAGGTCATGATAACGCGGTTCATGGGTTCAAACCCCACACGAGGCTCTGTGCTGACAGCTCAGAGCCTGGAGCCTGCTTTGGATTCTGTGTCTCCCTCTCTCTCTGCCCCTCCCCTGATTGCACTCTCTCAAAAATAAATAAACATTTTTTTTAAATTAAAAAAAAATCACAAAGTGTATGATTCTATCTCTAAGAAATTTCCAGAAGAAGCAAATCAACCCCCAGAAACAGAAAGTAGATTAGTATTTGCCTCAGGCTGGAGGTCAAAACAAATACAGACTGCAAACAGACACAAAGGATCTTTCTGGGGGGTGATGGAAATGTTCTAAAATTGGTTTGTTGTAATGAGTGCACTGGTCTATAAATCCACTGAAATTATTTTATGGCACACATAAAAAGGATGAATT